CCGATCCAAGAGCTACGTGAGCATCCGTGCCCAGCTTTGGAAGAGGCCCTTGGGGCCCCGATCTAGCCTTTTGGCCGGAGTCTGTTGTGGGTGGAGTTTGTGTCCTACCAGCTGTCACCTGTTTCAGGCATCAGTGCTGGCTCTGTGACCGACAGCACAGCAGAGGCTCTCAGGGCCTAGAAGAGAGAGTCAGGGAGGGCTCTCAGAAGGAGGGAGGTCTGAGGAGCGTGGGTCAGTCAGCATCCCTTCTCGGCCCTATGGTTTGTGCTTTTCTGACCCTTGACATTGGACCCCGGCCCTGACCTTCTCTACCCCAGGCTGGAGGCCACCTGGTCGCAGCTTCGAGGAGAAGCTGCTAGGAATCGCTGTGGGCTCAGACCACTCAGCGAGCACAGACTCCAGCATGGGGCCAGAGGGGGGCGACCAAAATAAACAGACTGCAGCTGACTTCGTTGTCAAGGAATTACATGCTCCTGAGGGAAGCCAGGCAAACCGTGCCCCCGTGCGCAGGTGACACTCATACACGTACGTCCGCAGGCACACAGCAGTAATTCCCCAGTGACTGGAGGGTGAGGCTGGATCGCTGATCATTGCAACTGGGTGAGGATGGTTCGATGAAAGCTTAGTGGAGGGAGGAAGATACTGCTTATTGCCACCCCCAAAATGATGTTCAGCTCTGCAAACATTTACTGGGTACCCAGGGGCTGGCTGGCAGGGAGAGGAACAGTGGCTCAGAGGAAGCAGGAGGGAGCCAGCCCTGGTGGCAAGCACTTTGTATGGCTGACTTGCAAAGTGCAGGCTGTGTTCTACTAGGAGGTGGAGGCAGAGGGGAGAGGTGGGAGACAGGGCCTCACGCTACCTGCATGTCACAGCCTCAGCCTCTGCAGCGACAAGCACCGTCGCTCTCTTGGCCAGTTCCTGACCTCAGTCCCTGTACAATGACTGCTTGAAAAGGAAAAATTCACTTCTTTTTCTCTGCTGTGCTCAATACAGTACTTCACTTCTGGCCATCAAATGTGTGGCAATTTCTCCCCATGCCAACCAGTCCTCTAATTCTCTGTGGTCACCAGGTGGGTGCCCTACAATTCAACTCAATTTGGACACCACCTACCTGGGGTTAGTGTCACGTCCCACAGTTAGGGGCTCAGTCCCACAAGGCTACATCACCCCACTGCCTCAGACACCAATCACGAGTCCAGATTGTCACCTGAGCTTCTGACTGAGTGGCTATAGGTTGAAGGTTCCCAGGACCCCCTCCTTGGGTTGGCAATTTACTAGAGTGGCTCACCGAACTCAGGAAAACAGTTTGCTTGCTATTTATTATTACCAATTTATTATAAAAGAATACAACTCAGGGGCAGCCAGATGGAAGAGATGCAGAGGGAAAGGTATGAGGAGGAACACGTAGCTCCCATGCCCTTTCCAGGTGTTCCACCCTCCCAGCACCTCCATGTGGTCACCAACCTGGAGGCTCTCCAAACCCCATTTAGGATTTGTATGGAGGTTCATTATGTAGACATAATTGATTAAATCATTGGCCATTGATGATTAATTGAAGCTCCAGTCAGGTGGGGCTGAAAGTTCCAATCCTGTAATCACTTGATTGGGTCCCCCATCCTGAGGCTATCCAGGAGATCCCAGCCACTGGCAATCTTATTGGCAAACAAAAAGACCCAACACTGGAGATTCCAAGCGTTTTAGGAGTGCTGTGCCTGCAAACAGGTACAGAGACCTAATATATGTATCTATTATTGCCCAGTGCTTTTCTTTTTGGAGGGGAAAGTAAGCTTTCTGTGAGCTCTGGCATATTCCAGACGATGTGCTAGGTCTTGTACAAACACTGCTTTAAGTCATCTTTACAATGCCTCCGTGAAGTTGGCACCACCATCACTATTTTATAGGTGAAGAAACTGAGGCTATGGGAGATTACCCAGCTAGTCAATTGCAGGCTGGAGGTTCAAGTTCATTGCTGACTCCAAAGCTTATTATTTTTTACTGCACCAAACTGCTTCCAAAAGTCTAGAGTAGAAGCAAGGAGGAGAAGGGATGATAAAGCTCGCAGGCTGGCTTCTCCGTTGAGGTGAGCACACCTCCCTGATGCAACTTGGCTTTTTATTTCCTAGGACAGAAGGATGAGGGGATCTAGGATGACAGAAGTGAGAGTCATGGAAATCATTCATACACGTCCCCCTAGGAATCCCTCCTTCCTCTCAGCTTCGATTTGGATCTGAGTCTTGGCGACTCATTTCAACAGTGCCATGGGTTGGACCTAGGGAATAGAGAAGAAGTTGCTCTGTCCTCAAAGGACCTGTGACTCTTTGTACAATCCCTTCTCCTCCGTTACAGCTTTCCCAGTAGGCTTAGGCCTTCCTGAAAGAAGCTTTGGTTTGGTGTAAGAGGCATTTGTTAGCTGTTGGGGGTTCTTGAGCCTTTGAAGGAAGTGTTCAGTGTCACCATTGGGAAAGTAAAGCTTAGAACAGGCTAGAAGGCACAGGCTGGAAGTTCTGCCTCAAGGTTTTTGTGCCCATCTGGGAATGAGGGTCTCTCAGGCAGGGGCTGTGGAGATCAAAAGATGAGAGGAGTTACGAGAAACATTACAGAGGAGGGATAGGTCAGACTTGAATCTAGGAAGGAGTGAGAGAGAGAGAGATATCAACAATCTTCTTGGATAGATATGGTTAATAGATGGCTGATGTTGCCCTTCCATATACTGTGCCCATGGCAGACATCACTAATCAATCCCAGCTCTTCTTCCAGCTCAACCACAGACTCCAAAACACGGTGATCTGTGTTAACTGTCCCCAACCTACTGGTCTTGCATGTAAGTTGAACTTTCCCCAACCTACTGGTATCGCGCGTAAGTTGAAATCAACTTGCCATCTCTGCTCTAATGTTTCAAGTCAGGAGGGCTCAGCAGAGGTAGTTTGGGAGAATTCAGGAGGTAAGAGTGAGCTGTTCTGTCTACATTTTGGCTTTTAGGAGTCCAGGGGAATGCATATTGTGAGAACGGGACGGCAGGACAGCAGAGAGGTTGGGCATTAAGGGTGGAGCTGTAGAACTGGAATTCATCTCTAATTAGGTAGCAATTGAAGTCCCGTGAATAGAGAGATGCCTTCCATAAGACCAAGGAGATGGGGAAAAGAGCAGGCAGCTTATTGCCAGAAAAAAGGAAACTGCTCACAATGCCGAAGAATGGAAGTGAAACAAGTTAACAGAAAAACCTGCATTTCCTTTACCGAGTGAGGAAGACCATCTCTCCAGCCCCCTACGTGGAATCCTTTGGACCTTAAGGAATTGCGGGGCTGGTTTCCTTAGGGATTACAAGGGCTAATGCTCTTGGTCCCCTCCTTTTAGGTCTCGGATATAAGCCAGTGTTTCTTCCAGGGGTGATGCTTTACCGGAGCCTGCCTCCCTCCCTGCAGCCTCCCACTCCGCACATCCCATTTCCAGTCTTGGCCCAGCTCACCCTTCCTCCTTCATCCTGTGACTTCTCTCTTCTTCTCTGTGGCTTGGTCCCCTCCCAGCTTGCCATGCAGAGAGAGCGCCAGGCACCACCAATGTGATCTCGTCTTCCTGACGGTTACCTTGACTAATCACTTTGACACCCTTGGGTTCCGGGAATAACTATTCCTGCAAAGTCAAAGGCTCCCTTTCCTCCCAGTGACCTGGAAATACCCTCTCACAATGAAAGTGCCCGGAGCTTTGGAGTGGCTTTTCCACATTAACTCTGAGGTTGGGTTGCAGTGAGGAAATCTACCCTTTTAATAGGGGGAAATATTGCCCTTGTCAGCCTTTATGCAATGCACTTGAGCCTAATGCTCACTTACCAGTTTGCCTTTATAACTTCCATATTGAGTGAATTAAGTCCTCCATGCGGGTAGTTATTAAAGAAGTGATAAGTGCTTTATAATTCAGTAAAGGGTGGCCTGGCCATTTCATATTTTCCTAAGGAAATTGGCCACTCGAAGGGCTGCACTCTCGGGCCCCCTGGGGCCAGCTGATCTTAGGCACAGAGCTTGCACTATTGGATTACTTTCAAGCCAGCTGCTCTGGTCTGGACCAGACTTTCCTTCTTGCTCAGACTTTCTCCTCCAAAGCCCACTGGGGAGAAAGGGTCAAAGCCAATGTGTCTTTCCCTGCCTCAGGCTGTTTCTGCTCTTGATCAAAGACCTCCTCTTTTTCTCCTACTTCAAAGCTGAGATGTCTAGAAGGAGCTGGAGGATTTATGATCAACATGGTTTGGCTCTCATCCGTAGACAAGAGGAGACTGTCTCCAAGGGGCCACAGGCCTCTGCCACCCCCTCCCCCCACTACTCCTCCTACCATAAATGGGTACCAATTCCTGCATCACACCTTTGATTTTTCAAATAGTTGAGAAAATGCTGGTCCCTTCAAGACCTTGGGAACCATAGCCTTTCCAGGGCTTGCTGCAAAGTCCCAGGGTTCTGAGGAAGAACAGTCATTTATTAATTTGTTCATTTAAATCTTCTACCATGTACCAGGAGCTGGGCTGAGTGTTGTGGATACGATGGTGAACGAGGTGGACAGGTTGCCTGCCCTCATGGAGCTTGTGTTCTGTTAGGGGAGAGATGCAATAAACGAGTAAACACATATATGAGGTCATTGTAGAGTCTGTCAAGTGATATAAAGCAAATAATGAGAACCACTTTTCTGAACCTTGGCACCAGTGACATTCTGGATGGGATAGTTCTTTGCTGTGGGGGGGTTCTCCTGTGTTGTAGGATATTTGGTAATATCCGTGGCCTCTACCCGACTAGATGGCAGTAATACCTCCCCAGTTGTGACAACCAAAAATGTCTCCAGACATTGCCTAATGTTCCCTGGGGGGAAAATCCACCTCTGGCTTGAGAACTCTTCATCCAGAGGATGGCGACACAGAAGGACTTCAGCTAGGTTGGTCAGGGATGGCCTCCCTGAGGAGATGACATGGAAGGGGAATCCAAGTGTTTTTAAGGGCAACAACCAAGCGCAAAGGCCCTGAGAGGAGGGAGGGAGCTTGCTGTTTGGGAGACTAGAAAGGAGACCAGTGAGACTAAAGCCAAGTGAACACGGGTCGGCTTAGTCTGAGCTGGGGCGGGAGAGGGGTGAACCAATCATGGAGAACCTTGCTAGCTGGGGTGGAGTCTGAACTCCATCCCCAGGTGCAGGAGAAGCCATTGGAGGTTTGTTTTTGTGGGGTGAGGGTGGGAGGGCTCGTGATCTGATTTATGTTAGGAAAAGCTCATCCAGGCTTCCGTGTGGAAGACAGATTTTAATCAGGTCAGAGTGGAAACAGTGGTCGTGAGGGGCTGATGATGGCCTGGGTGATAAGAGGTTTGTCAGAGGTGATGAGAGTGGGGACAGTGAGTGGGCGCAGCTGATTATCTCTCGTGGAGGTGGACTTGCTAAGGTGTGGATTTTGGAGGGCAGGGAGCAGTCAATGATGAAGTTTGGCTTGGACAGCAACAGAGCCACCTGCTGCGATGGCGAAGCCCAGATGGGAGGACAGCGAGGGCTGGTGTTGGACCTGCTGATGTATCAGGGAAGAGCCTGGAGCTCAGTGAGGGGGGACACGTTGGGCACTCTCAGCATATGGATGGTGTTCAGAGCCTGGCACCCAGGTGAGATCCCGGTGGCCTGGTGGGGTGAGGCCTATGAGACTTCCCCGTTGAGGGATCAGACAAAGAATGGAATCAGCAAAGGCGACTATGAAGGACTAGCCAGGGCAGTAGAGAGAAACCCAGGAGAGAGTAGAGTTAAGGAATTCATAAAGAAGCCAAAGTTCTAAGAAAGAGAGAGTGGTTAATCAGGTAAAATGCTGCTGAGAGACTGGGAAACTGGACAGCAGAGAACAATTAGGTTTGCCAACATGGAAATGACTGGTGACCTTGACAGTGTAGTTTTGGTAGAGTGGTAGGGACAGAAGACAAATTGGGATGAAGAATCAAAGGGAGGTGGGGAGGTAAGGCTTGGGATGTAGATAATTCTTTTGAAAACATTTGCCATTCGGAGGTGGAAAGACCTGAGTTGGTACCTGGAGGAGAACATGGAGTCCAGGAGACTTTATTTTAAATGGGCTCTCCTAGAATGTGTTTGTACGCTGATAGGAAATTCTAAGAGAGAGATGGTGTGGGTAGAGAGATGGGAGGGAGAAAAAGTGAATGAGTCCTTGAGAAGGCGAGAGGGGGTGAGGGCAGGGCGAGGTCCACATGGGGAGCTGGTAGAGGGCTAAACACTGAAGCTCTGCTGTTGACCACTTCGGAGTTCACTCATTCAGTCATTCACACAGTCATTTACTCAGATGTCACTGAGTGTCTGCATGGCACTGGGGACACACACTCTCACTGAGCGCCCTTGGAAAACTCATGTTCTGGTGAAGGCCAGAGTTATGTGGGGAAGGGAAAGGTGGAAAAGATGTGCCGGGTGCCAAGAGCACTTCCACCTCAGCTGCTCCGGTGTTCGCCCACTTGCCCACTGTTGACCCCGATGGTGAGCGGTAGACCTGAATTCTGGTTCTGGGAGGGAGATCTGGTCCACGGGTCTCCCGAGACCTCTGGGATCACCCAGTTTCTGGGCTTGGTAGTGATTCTCCAAGTTGCCTGTGCCCAGTAGGGATGTTGAATGGTGTGCCCTGGGCCACATCCCTCCTCAGAGATCAAGTTCAAGATTCCCGTGGGGTTGGCCCAGGGGGCCCAGGGTGAGGACCGCGCAGGTGCTGAGCATGGAAAACCGCTGGACGCTGGCATGAGGGGCATTTAGGTGGCTGCTTAGCACCCACCTGGGTGGCTTCCCAGGGTCACTGCCCCTATTTGAGATTCTGGAGGTGAAAGTGCGGGCACTTAGACGGATAGGATCTCTGTTCTCTTGTTTCATATTTCTAGAGACACGACAAACACGTAATCAAATAATCAAATAAGACAATTACAGATGGTTATTAAGGGCTGTGAAGGACATAAACAGGGGCTTGCGCCAGAGAGCAGCTGGCGGGGAAGGGAGGGTGGGCTCAGAGGAGTCAGGCTGTCCGAGAAGGTGACCTTTGAGCAGAGACCTGAGGGATTAGAAGGAACCAGGGAAGAGGGTTCTGTGGAAGTTCTGGTGGGGAATAAGCCTGACATGTTTAAAGAACAGAAGGCATGTGTGTGTGGCGGGGACCTAGGAAACCAGGGAATATATTCAGAGAAGCTCGTGGGTCGTGGCACGGCTTTGGGGTTTTACTGCAAGGACCAAGGGAATTAGCTGGAGGTCGCTCAGCAGGGAGAGGAAGATCGCTCTGGAGCAGAGACGGTTGAAGGAGAGTGAAAGCAGGGAGGCCGCTTAGGAGGCGATGGCTGTTTGCATCTCCTAGATGCAAACAGAAGTGGTGGGCTCCTAGTGCGCGAACATGTGGGCACGCTGGGTCCTGTGCCCACCCAGGGGGGCTGCAGTGAGAATGGGGAGAAGTGGGAGGACAGGTGAGGGGCAGGCTGGTCTGGTCACATAGGGGCTGAGCCGGACAGTGTGGACTCCCCCACGAACTGGCTGAGTCCCAGGTGAAATCTCACTCCCGGGAGCTGGGTCTCTTATCGGGGTAGCAGAGCGCATGTGCCTTTGACATTTTCTCTGTTAGGAGATGGAGCATTTCAGCACCTGAACAGCAGAGGTGTGTGCACAAACGTTCCCCGTTCCTGGCACGAGTTTGGGGTGGATCAGGAAGCCAACACAGACGCTGTCGTCTCCCATCTGTTCACTGCACCATCTGAATGTTCCTTTCTGCGGTCCTGGGAGGTGTCTCCAATGCGGGGCTGGTTCACCGTGGCCCTTGGCGTGCAGCTGCTTGTAGGGCTGGTGTGCTAACACGCTGGCATGCTCAGGTTGCAGCCCGAGGAGTTTCCCCAGGCACTCAAGTTTGGCTCCCCAGGCATCTAGTATCCCCCTTGACAGCTGTCAAGGGAGGGAGAGCCGGGTGACTTGGCTGGTGTGATCCGATGCGTTGCGGCTCCTCCCCAGCCCCCTTAGTGCCTGAGCTCCGTGGAGCTGTTGCTCCAGACGGTTTGTTTATAATGCTAAACATATCAGATAATTGAAAGCTAATGCTTCTGTCTGGATCACTAGACATAATATGGCTGGGTAACAAATCAATTTCCTCATTGCCCTACAAGGCTTCGAAGTCAGACACCAGGCACATTCCTTGTCCGGGTTTGTGCGTGTGCATGCACGTGTGTGCAAGTGGGTATACACACTCATGCATGTGCGTGCTCTAATGCTGACTTGTTAGGAAATGAAATTCCAGGTTAGCTTCTGCAGGCACCCAACTCCATTCTTCAGTCTGGCGCTCTGTCTTAAACAGGATTCAGGTGAGAAGGTGAGGGGACCCTCAGGTCTGACGGGGATCAGGGATATCTGGAGATGAAGAGACACCTGCACACAGTCTTGTTATCCGGAGCTCTTACATTCTGTACTGGAGGAGAAAAGTGCTCACAGACGAAACATCTGAGAAAGGCCAGTTTCAGCTACCTCCTGCCGGGATACACCTTCAAGAATGGGTATACTGAATATGATATACTAGTGGTGGTGCCACTGGGAAAAAGGGAATTGTAAGTTATCAACAAGAATGCTTACTTATCCGGCAAACTTAATTATCCAGAAAGAGGGTGCCAGACAAAGTAGGAAAACAAGGGCAAAGAGCTGCCTGTCCATATGTGTGTGTGTGCATGTCTGTGTGCGGATTTTTTCTTATTCCCTTAAATCCTTACTCAGATTCTGTTTACTCCTACCTAACACCCAGCTCCAGCAGCAGTAATGGAATCAGCTCTGCATTGCACTAGTGCTAGGCATCAGTGCTGAACGGAGGCCTTGAGCATCATCTCATCTAAGCCTCACAGCAGCTGGATTTCCTATTAGGAAACAAAGGACTGGTGAGGCTGGAGTAACTGGCCCAGAGGAATCCAGCTTCTAAGCATCAGAGCTGGGTGTCATCTCCAGATCAGCCTACTTCCAGCGTGTCCTTAGTTTTAAAATTAAAAAAAAATTAATGGAGGTACTGAGGATGAATCTAGGACCTTGTGTATGCTAAGCATATGCTCTACCACTGAACTATACCCTCCCCCACTTTTTAAACATTGAAGTATAGTTGATTTACAGTGTTCTGTTCATTTCAGGTGTACAGCAAAGTGATTCAATTTTATGTAAATATATACATATATATTTTTTTCAAGTCCTTTTCCATTATAGATTATTACAAGATATTGATTATAGTTTCCTGTGCTATACAGTAGGTCCTTGTTGTTTATCTATGTTATATATAGTAGTGTGTGTCTGTTAATCCTCAACCTTTAATTTATCCCTCCCCACCCTTTCCCCTTTGGTAACCATAGTTTATTTTCTATGCCTGTGAATCTGGTTTATAAATAAATTCATTTGTATCTTTTTTTTCAGTTTCCACTTATAAGTGGTATCATATGGTATTTGTCTTTCTCTGTCAGACTTACTTCATTTAATATGGTGATCTCTAGTTCTATTCATGTTGCTGCAAATGGCCTTATTCCATTCTTTTTTATGACTGAGTAGTATTCCATTGTGTGTATATACCACATCTTCCTTATCCATTCATCTATTGATGGACATTTAGGTTGCTTCTATGTCTTGACTATTGTAAATAGTGCTGCTGTGAACATTAGGGTGCATGTATTTTATGAATTAGAATTTTCTCCATATACATGCCCAGGAGTAGGATTGCTGGATCATAGAGTAAGTCTATTTTTAGTTTTTTTAAGGAACCCCATACTATTCTCCATAGTGGCTGCACCAAACGACATTCCCAGGGTGTCCACTCTTAATCTCTATGCTCCAAGGGGCTGTTGGAAGGAAGGATGGGCCCTGAGGGTACAGCTCAATAGTAACTAAGAGCCAGAAAACCATTAAACATGGAAGCGATAGCCATTAGCTTTCAGGAATGATTTCCAGGTAGGACCGTTTTGGGGAGGGGCTCAAGTTCTGCCTACTTCAAGAGCCTCTGAGGGTGTTTCTGTGTCACAGTCAGCTGGTTAGGTGGGGTAATCATGATGACCCAGGATCATCAAGAAAATGTAAATCATGTTCTATCTACTCTGTTTCAAAAGTCAAGGAAGTATGTAATGCATTTTAGGGGGAAAAAAGAAACATCCAGCAAGGAAGTTGAACATGCAGAGGTTTTGCATTTAAATTT